GGCAGAAGAGCAGCGGATCCTCAGAGCCCGAGAGAGAGAGAAGCCACTTGGACCTCCTCGGCCCACCACGCTGCTGGCCTCCCGTCCAATCTCTGCCTCTCAAGCTGCAAAACGGTTGTCCCCCCCTTCTCTCTGTGTGTCAGAGCCAGTTTGGCATAGTGGTAAAGTGTGCGGACTCTAATCTGGGAGAATTGGGTTTGATTCCCCACTCCTCCACTTGCACCTGCTGGATGACCTTGGGCAAGCCGTAGTTCTGATAAGAGCTGTCCTTGAAAAAGAGCCGTTTCTGTCAAGAGCTCTCTCAGCCCCACCTACCTCCCAGGGTGTCTGTTGTGGGGAGGGGAAGGGAAAGGAATTTGTAAGCCGCTCTGAGACTCCCTTCGGTAGTGAAGGGTGGGGTATAAATCCAATCTCTTCTTCTTCTATATCTATCTATTCACACACCCATACATCAGTGGCTTCAGACTCTTCCCTGCACATAAATCAGCTATTCAGGAGAGGATTTCCAGTAACGGCTTTCCAGGAAACCTCAGCCAGTTCCTCCTCTGCCTATTAACAAGCAGTCAGTTGAACAAAGAAGGCTCTCCCACACCCGAGCTCCCTCCCCAGGAGGGCTGCCCCCCCCACAATGCCTTCAACAGCTGCATGCCAAAAACAGGGATTCAACAGCTGCATGCCAAGCCTGGGAACACAGGCAGGAGGACGGCTGCAATTTTTGCGGACTCATGAGAGGGAGGCAGGCTGGGAGACTTGGAAGAAGCCCACGTGCAATCCGACTGCCTCGGAAGGGGGGGTACACAAGCAGGGCCGGCTCACTCACTATGTGAACTAGGCGATCGCCAGGGCTCTAGTCGGGGGGGAGCTCTCAGGTACGGAGCTCCGGAAGAGAACCTCTAGGGGGCGGGGCGGTCACGTGGTGAAGCCCCGCCCCCTTCTTTACCCCGCCAACTGCTTCGATCCTCATTCCGTTTGGGAATGAGGATGAAGCAGGAGGGTAAGTAGCCGGGCCTTCTGACACACTTCCGGTGATGTCAGGGGGTGTGGCCTTCTGTCACTTCCGGTGATGTCAGGGGGCGTGGCATATGCAAATAAGTTATGCTAATGAGTTATGCTAATGAGCTCCGGCAGCTCTTTTTCTACAACAAGACCCCTGAATA